GATCTGGAGTGGAAGCGACTTCTCCTGTTGAACTACTGCCTGAGGGAGAGGAAGAGACGTCTTAGCCCGTTTTGGGGGCAAGTGAGGGCCATCCAGAAAGGGCTCCTGGGACCCCGAGGGGCCAGAAGGGGATTCTCCAGCCTTGTCTGGGAAGAGCCCCCCTTTCCCCTAGGCCGGCAGGTGGAGCCCTTCTCCTAGCGCTGACTCTTGGGGTGACGAAGGAAGCTGGTTTGGGGGTCAAACTCCCCTGAGGGAACCCTCCACCTCTGAGGAGATAAAGCCCTTCTTCTTCTTGGGCCTCCAAGACAGAGAGGGGCTTTCCCTCCTTGCTGCCTGTCCTGGTGCAGAACCTGGCGGATCCCCCAAGGCCGCTTGCCTGGCATCTCCCAATGGGGAGGCCTCCTCCGTGGGGCAACATGGCGAGGAGAGAGGCTGCCCTGTGGAGGCCAAGCCATCATGGCAGGAAGGCAGCTGAGGACCAAAGGTGCCGTCCTCCTTCATCCGGGAGGAGAGACCCCGAGAGCGTGGGACCCCCGAGGCCCACAGGGGAGCCATGGCATCTCTGGGAGCCGCTGGGGCCTCTGGAAGAAACAAAATGGCATTCCCGCCTTTTTCACAAAAGGGCGGGAAATGGCGTCTCCTGGCCCTGCCGCCTCCTGGGCTCCTCTTGGGCCTGCCTGGCCAAGGGGGGCTGGGGAATCCAGCTGGCCCCAAACAATTGGGGGGGGGGGGGAGAGAGAGAAACATGGAGAGAAGGCAGGAGAAATGAAGGATAAGCTGGGAGGGGGAGCAGCCAAGAGGGAAACTCAGTGGGAAAACTCCCTCAGGAAAGGGAAAATCCTCACAAAACTGGCCCTCCAGCAAGCATTTCTCTCTCTCTCTCTCTCTCTCTCTCTCTCTCTCTCTCTCACACACACACACACACACACACACACACACCAGACCCAGCCATCCCTGGCAGCAGGCAGGGTCAGTCTGCCTCCCTTCCCTCTGGAAATGACTTTGCAAGTGGAAGTCCCTGCCTCCTCCAGGAGGGGAGTTGTTCCTGTCAGCAATGGCTTCCCCCTCCATCTGGCAAACATTTCCATCCTCCAAGAAATTCTTTCATTCTCATGGCATCTCAGCATATTCTTCCGCCATCTTCATAAGCCTTTCCCCCCTTTCGTTAGGGCAAAGGCCCCTTTCCATTTTTGCAGGCGGACCCTCGTGGAGAAAGGCTGGCTCCTGCCCCTCTCTCTGGCCAGGGGCCCATGGGCTTTCAGGCGCCCCCACAGGGCCTGTGTCTCTGGAGAAGAGAAGCCCAAAGCGTTGCAGGCAGCCTTTCCTTCTCCCTCGCCAAGATGGCTCTCTGCCCTTCTCCCCCCTTTCCTTCCCCCAAACCCCTTGCCCTCCCCTGGAGCAGTTACCCTGCAACCTCCCAAATCTGCCCCCCCCCCGTCTCTGGTCACACCAGGGGCAAGAGGTCTTGCTGAGGACCTTCAATGGCTCTCCATGGGTCTCTGCTGTCCACTTAACAGCCCTAGTTTGGCCGGGCTACCTGTTATGTACTGAAGTTCTCACCCTGGGCCAGCAGGGGGATAGTGTAGATAGTTTTCACTCAGGTCCACATCAGTTATTTTAGGCGGGAAACCCTGGGTTGTTGTTGCTACAATGTTGACAGCCGGCTGCCTATAAAAGCAGGCCGGCTGAGCTGTTTGCTGTTCAGTTCTGTTCCAGCTTACAAAAATAAAGAGCTGCTTTGGAGAAATCGCTGTGTCGTCTGCCATGTCTACCCACTATTCAACACTACCCATGAATCCCTTTGCATTTTATATTTCTCCCTCTCCAAACCACAAATAATCCCAATCCTAGCATTTCTTAATTTCACGTTTCTCCCAAATCTTATATCCCTCTTCTTGCCGCCGCCGCCCTAGGATACATAAACAAATGAAACAATTCCTTCAGAAGCTCTGGTCCGGTTGCACCGGACATGCTTTTTTAAAATAAAGGATGGCCAAGATGGCCTGGGAGGCATTACTGGAACCTGGTGGGATGAGACTCAGGACAGAAAGGAGTTTTGGTGACTTTAAAGTTGGCCGTGCAGGTGGAAGTTCAAGAGGGGAAGCTTCAGCCTGGTCCAGAGTCCTGTTCTCACAAGCAGGGCCCGGGTGCAAGAGGACTTCCCCCTGGGGGTTTCCAGCAACTGGGGTCCAGAACCTCCAACCTTGGACTCCCAACTCCTCCTCCGTGGATTTGTCTGATCCTCTTCTAAAGCCATCTCTGCCTCCTGCTCCAGTGAATTCTGCAAGTTAGCTGCGTGAAGAAGCAGAATGATGCCAGCAGGAACTATACCAGTGGGACTCCTGCCTGTCACGCAGCTCTCAGCCAGTGGGGCATGCTGGCCATCCCTATTAATATGGGCCAGAGCTTTTCAAACTTTTCCTGTTGGCGGCACACTTTTTGGACGTGCATCATTTTGCAACACAGTAATTCAGTTTTACAGGGACGCGGGTGGCGCTGTGGGTAAAAGCCTCAGCACCTAGGGCTTGCCGATCGAAAGGTCGGCGGTTCGAATCCCCGCGGCGGGGTGCGCTCCCGTTGTTCGGTCCCAGTGCCTGCCAACCTAGCAGTTTGAAAGCACCCCCGGGTGCAAGTAGATAAATAGGGGCCGCTTACCAGCGGGAAGGTAAATGGCGTTTCCGTGTGCGGCTCTGGCTTGCCGGAGCAGCGATGTCACGCTGGCCACGTGACCCGGAAGTGTCTCCGGACAGCGCTGGCCCCCGGCCTCTTGAGTGAGATGGGCGCACAACCCTAGAGTCTGACAAGACTGGCCCGTACGGGCAGGGGTACCTTTACCTTTACCTTTAATTCAGTTTTACAAAAATAATAGTAATAGTAATAATTTATTATTTGTACCCCAGCCACTCTGGGTGGCTTCCAACAATGATTAAAAATGAGCATTCACAGGACACATCTACGCACTGCAGCCAGCACACAGTTTGGAAAGCTCTGGTCTAGGGAAAGGTGCACTTTGATACTAGGATCGAAGGTGTTAAATCAGCAAGGGAGGGGAGGGAGAGGCTGAAGGAAGCCCCTCCCTGCTTGGGTGACGCAACCCCTTCCTGGAGACAGGAAACTGGGTTTCCAGACCCCCATTGTGCTCCTTCCTGCTCTGGGGGAGAAGGAAGGAGTCCTGGGGGAGAGGGAGAGGCCAAATCCTGCTGTGGGGCAAAGGGAAAACGCGGATGCAGAACACAACAGAATCTCTCTCCCCAGGACTGGATTCCCAGGGGAATATATTTTCGAAGCTGCAGCCAAAGGCTGGGCAATGGAGACTGGATTTCTCCTGTGTCCTCGCAACCAGAATCCTTGGCCTCAGTTCCCTTTGTAGATTTGCAAAGGGTCTCCCAAGACTCATCTAGTCCAACCCCGTCTTGGCAGGCCATTTCTCCATTGTTAAGAGAAAGGGGCCAGGCTGGTGTTCCCCAGAAGTTGTGGAAGTTTATTTATTAGATATGTGTACTGCAACTCCCATCAGGCCTGGCCAGCCAGTGGGCATACTGTTCCACAACCGCTAGAGGGCACCAGGTTGGCAAACGCTGGATCTGCACATTACTGGGGTCTTGCATGGACCCCAATGCACCCGCTTTGCGACTTTGATCGGTAGAATTGGCAGTGCTGCTGGTGCCACGTAATTCCATTTCTGCATCTGTAAGGAAATGGAGCGTTGGAACTCCCTGCCTATTGACACCCAGGTAGGCTCCTTCACTGGTACAGCTTTTGGCACCTGCTGAAAACATTATTGCTTGGCCGAGATGCGTAGGATGTTGGCATATTCTTCCCATGTTTAAAATAGCTCTCAACAGTGTCCATCGTTATATTTCTGAATTCCACATCTTCAGTTCAAGGGATGTGTCCACACCATTTGTGGAGTCACAAACACAGGCAGCAGTCTCAGCTGTTTCAGCAATTTGCCCACCTCTCTAGCTTCCCTGCACGAGCTGGTTCCACGTTTTCCACCCGCCCTCTCCTGTCAAGTCAGAGGACCAATCCCTCTCTCAATACTGGGGCTCCACACTCAGAATCCAGTTCTGTGTTTGGCATAACTTACACCAGCCCAATCCTCCTTGCGCTCCACCCCAGGCTTTTGCTGAAGCTGGCCTCGTTTGCATCGACTTCCCCTCTGGGCTCTGCACCTGCCACCCTCAGTCTGTGGAGGCCGGTTCCAGGTTTTCCTTCTGCTTCCAGCTCTCCCCTAGCCATTCCTGGGCAAACTCCAGTTCCGTGGTTTGGGGCTGCTCAGGGCTTCCTCTACTCGGCCTCTCCCGCTCCCTTCCCGAGGCGGAATCCAGTCCCGGGCTTTCCGCAGCCTCCTGGCTCCGCTCCCAGGGAGTCCGGCTCCGGTTTCCCCTTCCTTCACTTTGTCCTGGCTCCGCTCCCAGCTCGCTCCGCTTCCGGACTTTCCATCCTGCCCCCTCCCTTGGCCGGCGCCTGGGAAAGCAACGGGGCACTCCTGGGTCCCTGCCCTGCAGCCCAGCAGCGCCCCATGGGGTCCTGCCCTCCAGCACCCAGGTGAGACCCAGCAGGGAGAGGGCTGGCCCCCATGGGAGGGGGGGGCGAGGCATCATCAGCAGGAGCTGGAGTGGAGTTGGAGGGAGGGGACCCCAGGGGTCATCCATTCCAACCCCGTGCAAGTTAACGGAGGGAAGGAGGCAAGAGTTTCTTGCAAGCGGTTTAGGGGCTGAGGGTGTTTAAAAAACAAAGTCTTGGGGTGGGATTCTTGCCTGTGGGACCCTCGTCGCAAGCACCCTTAAGAGGAGGCGCGTTTGCAGTTAGGGTTTAGGGTGAAAACGGGCAATAGGGTGGGAGACACCCCCCAAAAAACAACCTTGGGGAAAAACACCCCCTCCCCTGCTTCTCTCCCCCCCCAGCTGCCCTCGGGCGTGAGGGGAGGGGGGTCCGGATGTTCCCCCGCTCTCTTCGCCACCTGCTGGACGGGGAGGCGACGCCGGTGTGACCCTCAGCGCTTTCCGGAGCAGGACCCCCGAGTCGGAGCGCGGAGGACCCCCAACTCCTGAGCAGGTCAGTAGCAGCAGGGAGGTGTTTGTTGGGGTGGGGGGACGCATGCAGGAGTTACTCTCTGCGGGTATGCTTGGCAGGTGCTGGGTTCAAGAGTTCCCTCGCCCGTGCCCACGAGCCATAGAAGGGACCCCCGGGGTCATCCAGCCCAGCCCTAGCCACGGTCCCTTACAAAGCCCTGTTTAAAAACCTCTGGCCAATCCCAGCATTGCCCAGGGTCATCTAGTCCAACCCCCACCGGCTGCTTCCAGAGGTGACCCCCCTTTGCAGACAGGAGTCCCGCCCGCCCGCCTCATTGTGTGGGGCTGGTCCGCTTGGGGGTCGTGATCGCGCTGCCTCCCCCCCCCGCCGGCCTTCACTGCAGGGTTGGCGCAGTGCGTCTGTTTGCATTGCCGGTGTGCAGGCTGGGACAGGTGTGTGTGTGTGTGTGTGTGTGTGTGTGTGTGTGTGTGTGTGTTTGCGTGTCTGCCTGCTGCTCTCTGTTGACCCACTGTGTGGCTCCGTTGCCCGGGTGACAAAGCTCCGTCTCTGGAGGCGAGCACCTTTGATCCGGTGTTGTGGGCACGCCTTCCCAGCTGGCAGCTGCACCTGTTGGACTCCGGCCTGCCTGCCTGCTGCCTAGGTATGCAGGTGTATCGCGGGGCTTCCAGGCAAAGGCCCTGTTGTTGTTGGGGGGGGGGTTGGCTGAGAGAGAGAAGAGGAATCTGGTTTGGCCTGTTTTTGGGGAAGTCCTCTGCAGGGCGGGGAAGGGGCCGGGCCCAATCCTGCGAAGCGGAAGGAGAGGAACCGACACCGAAAGGGAGGCAGGAGAGAAAGACACACGAGGCCTGGGTGGGGGGCCGGGAGTTCAGCCTGGGCCCCCCCATCCCAACCCTCTTTCTGCCCATCTTCTGCAGCAAAGAGGACACCCCCCCCACTTTCTCCATCTGGGGGCAGGAGGGGTGCAAAGGGGGGGTGATCTGCCACCCCAATGAAGGTCTTCCTCCGCCTGGGGGGCTGCCTGGAGCCGGGAGGGGGCTCCGCAGAGGGGGGGATCCTCACCCGCACCCGTTGGTACTGCCTGCCTGTGAAGGTAAGGCTCAGAGGGTTTTATGGGGTGGGTGTCAGAAGCCAAGGTGGAGCCGTGGTTTGAGGACTTGGGTTCAAATCCTGGCAGGCTGCCTTCTCCTAGCCTGGCCTCCCTCTCAGGGTTGTTGAGGGGGAGGCTTGAGGGACGGAAATGCCGCAGACCCACAAATAAATAGGCATAAATGAAGGAGCACTCTGGTGGCAACTTGGGGGGTGGGCAGGAATTGCACACGGGCTAAAATGCCTTTTTTTCTCCCCCCACTGCAGCCCCCAGTGACCTTGTGGGAGGAGAAGGAGGAAGGCGCCATCTACAGCGTCAGCTCTCGGCTGCCGGGGGGCGCCAACAAAGCCAGCCTGTTCTCTGGGGTAAGTCGTGCCCCATGCCTGGGGGGTGGGTGGGGGTGTATATTGCCAAAGGAAGAGAAGCGTCGTTAAAAGGCGTATCACTTACATTGCTGAGTTTTCGTGGTATTTGGCGAAGCGTCACCTGTTGAATTTCTGCCTGCCTGTGCAACAGTTAGAGGCCCTGGTGGTGCGTAAGCCAAGCAAGGGAATGACCTGCCACAGGCCAGATTAGGACGAGGAGGAGGAGGAGGCTGCCTCTGTTTACATAAAATTGAAAAATTGGTTGGGATCCCCAGAGGTCATCCAGCTCAACCCGCCGGCTGTGCAGGGAACCGCTTCTAAGAAATCCACAACTTACAGCTCACAAACCGAGCCTCCTTCCTTGTCACTGGAGCCCACCCCTTTCTATTTCTGCCCCCCCCCCACAGGGCGAGGACCTGCCAAGCGCCTCGGGTCCCCCGGGGGCTGCTGATGCCTCGGCGCTGGGGGTGTCGGAGTCCCCGGCTGGCCGCTCTCGGGTGCTGAAGGCTGGATCGCTGCCTCGCCTGGTCAGGCACCTTCTGGAAGCCCCTTCGCTCGGGGACACCTGCTACGTGCCGGCCTTCCTGGCCACCTACCGGACGTTCGCCACGACCGGCCTGGTCCTGGGGCTCCTGCTCGAGAGGTTTGCAATGGAGGGGAGATGGTCTGGGGGGGACGGACGTTGGCAGTGCTGTTTGTTTGGTCCGCAGGCGGAAACCCAGCAGGTGCAGCTTGTGTGGCATCGTTAACATTGCTGAGTTTTCATGGTAAGAACAGAACATCACCGGTTGGGTTTCTGCCTGCTGGGCAGCCGCCTGAGGCTGTGGAGAGGTGGCGGGTTGCTGGCCGGGCGAGAGAATAGGAGGATTACTTAATTTATTGAGTCCCTTGGTTTTTCTCACCGCCCCCCCCCAACAGGCTGCAGGCAGTTGTGGGTTCGAGTTCAGACGCTACCCCGGAAACAGCAGACCTTCAGCGGTGAGTGGGTGCCTGCTTCCTTTTCCCTGCTCCCCTGAGCACTTAATAACAGCCCCCTCCCCAAAAGAAATATCACCCTCCGCAGCCCAAATCCCATTTTCTGAGCTAATTCCTAAGCTGCTTCTGGGCTCTCTCCTCTCTCTACCAGAAGGATGGCTGCCTGTGTTGGTGTTATGATTATGAACTGGGTACGGTCCTTGAATCGTAGCACTGCAAGGCCCCCTGGCTGTCATCTAGCCCAACCCCTTGCCGTGCAGGAATCTCAGAGGTCCCTGAACTCGGCACATGCTCAGAGGCACAGTGGTCGCCGCGAGCCTTTGGGTTCCGGGTTTGAGCTCCGTCTCCAGCCTCGCTTTTTAATGGCTTTACGTTAGTGCAATCCCAGACATAGAAACACAGAAGGGTAGAGTTGGAAGGGGTCCCCCTGTGGTCATCTAGTCCAGCCCCCGCCAGGCAGGGATCTCAGCGAACGCATCTCGGACAGGTGGCCCTGCAACCTCCCGAAGGGGCTCTCGCGTGTCTACTCAGGAGTAAATCCCGCTTGTTTACGCCTTGGTGAAAATATTCGTACAGCTTTGTGTCATACAAAAAGGATAATCAAAGCCGTTTATAGCAATAAAACCATAAAGCCTTCTTCTTTCTCCACAAGACCATGTTAAAAAGTTACCTGGTTATCTTGTTGTAAGCCTCTTTTTTTAAATGATAGGTTGGTATACATATATATTTTTAATAAATAAATAAAAAACCAGGCATCAGTTCACCACGGAGGAAGGATTTACATCTATTCCATTATTAGGATTAGGATTTCTAGATCATCCATCAAAAGCTTTCAGGGCAATTCACGAGATAAAAATACAAGATTAAAACACAAATAAGTGGTTTAAGCAAAAAAAAGCCAAACGCACACAAAAATAGCCAGTCATTCCCCCCCCTCCTCCCGGCTTGCAGAATATAGATATTTTCTGCTGGCCTGGGAGACTGTCCTCCTGGGCTGTCCCCTTTTGGAGACAGGACATTAGGTCAGGAGAGGGTCAAGCAGGGCTGCTCCTTTGAGCTTTGAGTGGGAAGCGGGTGCGGGAGACGACTCCCTCCCTGAAACGCCCTCCGGAGAGACGAGGCGCTTGCCGGCTGCGTCTGGTCTTGCAGTGGGCTCCCGGGAGGGATTGGCAGTGAGGCACGTGGACTGGGGTGGGGGCCGGGGGCGAGGCCAGGGCACGTGGGCTTGGCTCCCTCGCACGAGTGAGTCACCAGAGACTCCCTGATCTGGGAGGCTGCACCTGCCGTCTGGGGTAGGGTGTCTCTGAGACGGGTTCAGGACAGGGCAACCGGAAAGGTCACAGAGCCACAGAATGGGAGAGTTTGGAGGGACCCCAGAGGGATCCAGTCAAATAATAATAATAATAATAATAATAATAATAATAATAATAATAATAATAAATTTATTATTTATACCCTGCCCATCCGGCCGTGTTTCTCTAGCCACTCTGGGCGGCTTTCAATAGAATAAAACTTCAAACATTAAAAACTTCCCTAAACAGGGCTGCCTTCAAATGCCTTCTAAAAGTCAGATTGTTTTAAGTCAGTTGTTTATTTCCTTGACATCTCATGGGAGGGCGTTCCACAGGACAGGCGCCACCACCGAGAAGGCCCTCTGTCTGGTTCCCTGTAACCTCGCTTCTCACAGGGAGGGAACCACCAGAAGGCCCTTGGAGCTGGACCCAGGTGTCTGGGGTGGAGACGCTCCTTCAGGTCTACTGGGCCATTTAGGGCTTTAAAGGTCAGCACCAACACTTTGAATTGTGCTCGGAAACGTACTGGGAGCCAGTGTAGGTCTTTCAAGACTGGTGTTATGTGGTCCCAGCGGCCGCTCCCAGTCACCAGTCTAGCTGCCGCATTCTCAATTAGTTGTAGTTTCCAGGTCACCTTCAAAGGGAGCCCCACAGAGAGCGCATGACAGTAGTCCAAGCGGGAGAGAACCAGGGCATGCACCACTCTGGCGAGACAGTCGGCGGGCAGGTAGGGTCTCATCCTGCATATCAGATGGAGCTGGTAGGCAGCTGCCCTGGATACAGAATTGACCTGCGCCTCTCTGCAATGTAGTCAAATGCAATTCAGGAATCTTTCCCCCTTGGTGGGAACTCACGACCCTGAGAGCTACGGACTGAGCCATCCATTTGGGGCTTTTTCATTCGGAGGGAAGGCGAAGAAGAGGCCGACACACCTGGAGAGAAACGGGGTTAGACTAGATGACCAGCAGGCCCCTTCCAACGATTCTATGATTCTATGCTGGAAACCACAGAAAGGGAGAGAGGGCTCTTGGGGGTTCGAATCCCACTTGCCCGTTTCCCATAATGGGCCTCTCTGCTTGGCTGCTGTGGGGGGGGGGGCTTCCTGGGATCCCATCAGTCACAGACTCCCCCCCCCCTTCCCCTCCCCACAGGGCCCTGGGGTCTCTACTGTGCTCCTGGCTGGACGGGTACCCGGAGGACTTTGTGGGGCTGGACGCTGGCCTGAAGGAGCAGCTGGGAGCCTGGCTACGCTGGGCGCTGGGTAGCGGATCGGACCCCGAGAAGACCCTCCTGGCAGCCGGCCAAGAGGGAGCTCCCAAAGGCCAGGAGGACCCCCGGGAGGACGAAGGCATCACGGACGAAGGGCCCCCAGACCCCCACTACATCCTGGGGCTCCAGGCGGAAGACGTGGCTGCTCATCTCACCGCGCAGGATGCTGTGAGTGTGATGGGGGGGCAGGGGAGAGGGCCTGGGGGGGTCCTGCAGGGGGTCTGGATGAGCTCCACAACCCTTGTTCTGCCCTCTGTCACGGACCACCCTCCACCTCTTCGGGCATGAGGACTGGAGACTTGGGAGGTTTTGCTTTCCGTCAATGAAAGCTGTTCTTGGTCAGTGAGAAAGAGGAGGATTGGTCTGAGAAAATATTGAATTATTGGGGCAATTGAAATGTTAAAAGTTAAATAAACCTTGTGGAGGGAGGAGCGTTAAGGCATACAGAAGTGTACATATGGTTGATTTGAATATATTATTATTGAATATGTTGAGAAATTATTGAATTATTTGGGTAGGTTCGAACCATTTGGGGAAATTGAAATGTTAAAAGTTAAATAAACCTTATGGAGGGAGGAGTGTTAAGGCATATAGAAGTGTACATATGGTTGATTTGAATATGTATATTATTGAAAACGTATATTATTGAATATTGTATACCCAATGTATCAGCCGCCTGGGGGTTTTCACTGTGTTTGGGTGGTTGGTAAAAAATTAGTAATAATAATAATAATAATAATAATAATAATAAAACAGAAACTGTTCTTCCTGATCAGATATTCCCTCGCCATTTGCCCAGCCTGCCTTTGAGGGGCACAGGTTTCGGGTTCCTTTTAAGCCAGCCTGCCAGGGATTGGGGGCTTTTGGGGGGGTTCTCCTCTCTTCCTCCCCCCCTTCAGTTTCTTCTCTCCCCGCAGGAGCTCTTCCTGCGCCTGGTGCCCCACGAGTGCCAGGGCCAGCTGTGGTCGCAGCGGGACAAGAGGGGCCACGAGGGGGCCTGCCCCTCTGTCCGTGCCACCGTGGCCCAGTTCAACCGCGTGGCCAACGCCGTCGTCTCCTCCTGCCTGGGCGACACGGAGCTGCGGGCGGCGCAGAGGGCGCGGCTGCTGGAGAAGTGGATCCGCGTGGCAGAGGTGGGTCCTCCTCACAAGGAGGGAGTCTCGGTTCCTTCTGCCCCTTTCCGGCTTCGTGCTGGATTAAGCTGAAATCGTAACAGAATGATGGAATTCATAGAACCATCGGACGGTTAGGGTTGGAATGGGCCACCCAAGGGTCATCCAGCCCAGCCCTCTGCTGTAGCTTTCCCAAAGCAAGCAAGGATTGGACTCTGATTAATAAAATACACACGAGGCTTGACCAGCAAGACTCTGGGAGGAGGTGCCAATAATAATAATTCTCCTCTGTCCACCCCTTGGCCCAGGTGGTTTTATTCACAAAAGAACTTTTTACACAGTGTTCGTAAGAACCAATCAGATTTCCTCAGAGCATTTCAAAAACCCCACGTGGGACAGATCAGAAGAAATTCTTTTAACTACAAAGACTACTTTGAGCATGCATACATATCTGAGAGTAAATAAAATAGGAATAAAAGGAGGAATGCATTCAGCAAAACCCCGGAGGTCATAAACAGGAATAAACAGGAGAGACAGGATGGCAGTATTTGCCATCTCCTTGTGAACTCTCTTCCTGGCCCTTAAGATCTATCTAAAGATTAAACTACCTCACAGTAACCTACTAACTTTATGTACTGAGGATGCCTGGTGAAGCAACTGCCCTGTGTATTTAGAATGCTTATATGTGCCTGTCTGGTGTAGAGAAAGCAAATGGCCGATGTGGAGAGGCCTGGGGGATTCGATCAGAAACTGTTGTCAATGAATCAAACCCAGTCAACGCATTGCCGACACAATGGCTTGCTTCATTTTTCATAATTCCTCATAGCAATCCCACCTGACCCCCCCGCTCTGGATATTTGCACCCCTACACTCTGCAATGCAGGAATTTTATCTATTTGTAAGCTGCATTTGTCGTTGTTGTTTAGATTTAAACGCGTGGCCTTTGCATAAACCCCCCCAGGAAGGCGGTTGACAGACCCTTTTCTTCTTTTCTCTTTCCCATCCCAGGAGTGTTTTCTCCTCCGCAATTTCTCCTCTCTCTATGCCGTCGTCTCTGCACTGAAGTCCACCCCTTTGCATCGCCTCAAGAGGACCTGGGAGGAGACATCCAGGTGGGCCCCGATCCTCTGCTTCAGAGCTCCTTCCCCTCGCAGAAAAACACCCACCCACCCACCCACCCGTCTCTGAGACCCTGAGCTTCTTCCTGGCCGCAACAAAAACCAGGCAGCCATCTGCCCTGGCCATTCCCCTCTTCTTGCCCAGGTCCTTAGGTCCTCCTCCCAAAGCGCTTCTCTTCCCTGCCAGGCACCCTCTGGAATTGTAGGGTTGGGTGAGACACCTCTGGGTCATCTAGTCCAACCCCAGAATCACAGCTAACCAATGCAGCAGAGGTGTCTAGGGAGGTCCCTACAAACACACAAGCCTGATCCCTCTTAGGCAGGGTGAAGCCCATTAAACTTCTAAAGGTGGCCTGGCTGACCTTTTGTCCCTGTCGTATTTTAGTGCTGGGGTGCAGTTGTGGGAGGGGGTTCCCTTTTGAGACTGCCCTACTCAGCTTCTCTCCCCCCCTCCAGGGACTCCCTCCGCTGCTATGAGGAGCTGAGCGCCGTCTGCTCGGAGGAGGACAACTACAGCCAGAGCCGGAGGCTCCTCTTCCAGGTGTTTATTCCACGTTCTCCGCAGAATCGGGATCCAAAATGACCGTAACAGATTGGAGAATTGGGCCCAGGCTAACAGAACGCATTTCAACAGGGACAAATGTCAGGTTCTGCACTTAGGCAGGAAGAAGCAGATGCACAAATAGAGGATGTGGGACCCCTGGCTGACTAGCAGTGCATGTGAAAAGGATCCAGGGGTCTTGGTGGACCACAAGCTCAACATAAGTCCACAGGGTGATGCAGCAGCAAAAAAAGCTAATGCGATTCTAGGCTGCATCAAGTCTAGTGTCCAGATCAAGGGAAGTGAGAGTCCCACTATTCTGATTTAGTCAGACCAAACTTGGAATCCTGTGTCCAGTTCTGGGTACCACAATTTAAGGATGTTGACAAGCTGGAACGTGTGCAGAGGAGGGCGACCAAGATGATCAAGGGTCTGGAAGCCAAGCCTTATGAGGAACAGTTGAAGGAGCTGGGGATGTTTAGCCTGGGAAAGAGGAGACTTTAGGGGAAACTATATCTTAAGGGCTGTCCCATGGAGGAGGGAGCAGGCTTGTTTTCTCCTGCTCCGGAGGGTAGGACTCGAACCCGTGGCTTCACGTTACAAGAAAGGAGATTCCAATATACGACAGTAAGAGCTGATTGACAGTGGAACAGACTCCCATGAGAGGTGGTGGACTCTCCTTCCTTGGAGATTTTAAGGTAGAGGTTGGGTGGCCATCCGTCATGGATGCTTTAGCTGAGACTCCCGCATTGCAGGGGGTTGGACTAGATGACCCCGGGATCCCTTCCAGCTCTAAGATTCTATGATTCTCTCCCAGGTCGCATTCTGCCACTCTAACCACTGCACTACCCTGGCTCTCGATGTCTAGTGGACTTTTAAACGCACACACACCACACCGGCTTCCCACTGGCATAAAAATGTTCAGGGCTTTGACTTTTTGCGAATTGCAGTTCCTAATCTATTGCATATCCTATCCTGAGGCAATCCCTTGCATCTCTGAGCCAACCTTCTCACTTGGCTTGTTTGTTTTTGCACCATCGGTGCTTACAGTCCTCACTTTCCGGGCAACAAACTCTTCCAAGGCGGCTCCTCACGAGCGGAAAGGGAACACAGGAAAGAAAACAGCCCGTGAAAACAAACATTGACGTTCAGGTGCCGAAGCAAAACCAGATGGGGTGTGTCAAGTGTTCCTCTGCATGTCTCCGAAATCCGGGACATGGTCTGAGACTCAGGGCTTTGTAGGAATTGCAGCGAAAGAGTCCCTGGCAGATGGCCATCCAGCCTCTATAATAATAATAATAATTTTTATTTATACCCCTCCCTCTGCAGCAAAGACTGGGCTCAGGGCGGCTAACACCAGGTATAAAAACAATTGATTAAAATACAACTTAAAAACAAGATTAAAATACAACATTAAAATGCAGCCTCATTTCAGTGGAAACTCAATCAAAAACTTAATTGGGGATAAAAATGTCAAGTCTTCACCAAGGCCAACTATCCGGACTGGTCCTATGTGGGCCAGAAAAAAGCCAGGGAAGTCCCCAAATAGGAGTTCCATCACAGAAGGAGAAATGAAAAAGGAAAGAGGGGAAGGGGGTCAAGTTGATTCCAAGCCAAAGGCCAGGCGGAACAACTCTGTCTTACAGGCCCTGCGGAAAGAAATCAGATCCCGCAGGGCCCTGGTCTCATGAGGCAGAGCGTTCCACCAGGCTGGAGCCAGCGCTGAAAAGGCCCTGGCTCTGGCTGAGGCTAATCTGACTTCCTTAGGGCCCGGGACCTCTAGGGTGTTGTTGTTTATGGACCTTAAGGTCCTCTGTGGGGCATACTGGGAGAGGTGGTCCCGTAGGTACGAGGGTCCTAGGCCTCTGCTTGAAAACCTCCAATGGGGGAGAGACGCTTGCCTTTCGAGGGAGTCTCCTGCTACCCTACTACTGAACATGTTTTTGAATGCAATTTGGACCGATTTGCACATTTCGCCATGCAATTTATCCTAAAATAATGCAGTTCTGAATTCTCTTCTGCTCCCCACAGGATGGCTACCCTCGAGGGGCTGGGGCGGACCCAATCCAGCGCAGGCAGCAGCGGAGATCTTTGGAGCATCGCCCCGTGGTACCCAGACTTCAAGAGGAGGGGAGGCGGGCTAGGGCCGAGGGGCCAGGAATGCAGGTCTCCCTGTCTCTGACCTCCTTCCTCTCTCGATCTCTTCCCCGCAGGGCGTGGTCCCCTACCTGGGCACTTTCCTCAAGGACTTGGTGATGCTGGACGCAGCGACACGGAACAGGCTGCAGGTGAGGACCAGGTGGCAGGCAGGAGACGCCAACCCCGGGCAGGCCGTTCGGCAGGGGAGCAGACTCGTAGAACTACAGAATTTTGGGTTTTGAAGAGACCCCCGGGGGTCATCCATCCAACCCCCTGCAATGCAGGAATCTCAACTCTCTCGGAAGGCGGTGGGCTCTCCTTCCTTGGAGGTTTCTCAGCAGACGTTGGATGTCCAGTTGTCAGGGAGGCTTTGGTGGAGATTGCTGCCTTGTAGGGTGTGCTGGATGACCTTGGAAGGTCCCTTCTGTGATTCTACGGCGAAGTGACCCAGCTGCTTCCAAATGCAGAGGTGGGTTGGCAGGAGGATGACGGAACGGCAACTCGCACAGAGAGACAACCAGGGAGTCCCTTCCCTGGGAGAGAACTTTAGGGTGGGAATCCCAGCAGTCATGAATGAATGAATGAATGAATGAGCGAGCCAATTTCATTGGGGCAAATCAGGAGATCTTAGGCTGCACTCCAAAAACAAGTGCAATTTGGGAATTACCATATTTTTCGCTCTATAACACGCTCCAGACCATAACACGCACGTAGTTTTTAGAGGAGGAAAACAAGAAAAAAAATATTCTAAACGAAATAGTGGATATATGATTTTTGTGGTTCATGCTGTGGCCACAGACATGTGATCTGACAGTGAGTTTGGAGTAGCCCAATGCAAAAATCCTGAGGATCCATGTGGATCCATGCTTTATAACCACGGAGGGAGGAAGGAAGGAAGGGGAACCATGGATCCTCTGCTCACGACTGCAGCAGATCCCACCCGTCACCCGCAGGCATTCGCTCCATAACACGCACAGACACTTCCCCTTACTTTCTAGGAGGAAAAAAGTGAGTTTTATGGTGCAAAAAATACGGTACTTCTGTGAAAAGCAGGAGGCAAGCCACTTTTGCTGGCCCTGGTGGGGCTGGAGCTGTCTCGTGGGATGCATTTGTGCTCATTTCTGGAATAATTACGTCTCTCTTCCCCCCCGAGTTGCTCGGCGTTCGACTAAATCTATAATTCTCTGACTCTTTCTCTTTGCAGAACGGGTACATCAACTTTGAGAAGCACCGCAAGGTACGTGCCGCATTGGAAGAGGGGAGGAGCATGCAATGGGCACCCCCTTAAAAATGGGGGGCACCTTCTATTATTAATGCCCATTTTTCTTTGTGTCTCCCCCCCAAAATAGGAATTTGAGATCCTCACCCAGCTGCGACTCCTGCAGGCCAACTGCCGCAACTACACCCTGAGCCCCGACCGGCACCTCCAGCGATGGCTGCAGCGCTTGCCTCGACTCAGCGAGGGCCAGAGGTGGGTCTCAGGATCCCATCCGAAACCCAGTCTGCTCTGCAATGCAGGAACAGATTTAGGGGGTTTATGGGGGGCAGGGTGCATCCTGTCCTGTAGTTTTTGCTGCAACAGACTGAAACACAGCTGCTGTTTTCTCTTCTGGGAATTTATTATTATTATTATTTTAAAAAGTAAAATATTTAAAGCAGACATTCTCCCTCTTCCTCTCTGCCAGCTACCAGCTGTCCTGCACAATCGAGCCGCCTGCGGAAGGAGCAACCCCTGGCCGCCCCGTGAAGCCCACCCTGGTGATCACCCACTGCGCAGAGTGAGAGGCGGGAAGGGCCCGGGAGAGATGGGAGGGACCCCCGAGGGACATCTAGCCCAACCCCTTGCCAGAAAAGAATCCATGACAGCTGGCCACCCGTCCTCTACTTTAGAAACCTCCAGCAAAAGAGGAAGTCGAGCCCCACCTCTTCTCTCCCCCCGCCCTCTCATTTTGAAGCTTTCTTTCCAAATAATAGAATTGTGGAGCTGGAAGGGGGACCCCTGAGGGACATCTAGCCCAACCCGCTGCAATCTCAGCTCAAGCACTGCTGGTGCTCAAATAGCCACCCAACCTCTGCTCCCATGAAGGAGAGTCCAAATCGCAGGTGTCCAGCTGGAATCTTAAAACCCTAGCGCGGTAGAGCTGGGTCTCGCCTGCTGAAACGTCTTCTCCTGGTCCTTTCCCAACCACCAGACGTTTCTCCTTTCTCCTCCAGCCTGGCCACCTCGATTGGGATGAGCACCCTTGTCTGCTGGGACAAGCCCAGCTCCCCGCAAGCCCCGCCAGACCTCCTGCTGCCTCCACCTGCTTCCCCCACCCCCCACGGGCAACCGCACCAGACCCAGGTGAGTTGGGGGGCCGGGACGATGTCCTTTCCCAGCTGTGATTTGTGAGCTCTGTGGGAATTTTCACTTTGTAAGCAGAACGAGGGTCCTGCTTAGTATCAGTTTTTAAGGAAAGGGCTGGTGCTATGCTGCTTTTACGGTGATTTTCTATACCTTTAATCTCTCATCTGGTTTCTATATTAGGGCTGCCATACCTCCAGGGTTTCCCAGATGCTTCCGGGATTTGGGCCTGGAAAATGGCGTCCGGGGGTGGGGGGATTTTCCTGAAGCCAGCAAAATGTCGAGGGAAACCCGGAAGTATGGCAAAAGGGATGAAAACAGCGATAAAATCTGCAGAAAAAAGCTCCAGAAAATCAGCAGCTCTGTCTGGATTTTCACGTCTGGAAATATGGCAACCCTAATGTATCTTATCTACCTACCTATTTTTGTTTAATTGCTTTTTCACAATTGTCTTTCCTATGACGCTTTTATCTGTTTCCATTTTATTTGTAAGCCACCTTCAAAAGTACCTGGATTTGGAATGAAGCCACCTTACCCTCCCAGCAGCTGCCTGTTGATGCTTTTATGTTGCTTTTTTTCATGCTGTTAACTGTCCTGGGATCTGTGGAAATTTAACAAACAAATAAATGAGGTACCTACTGAGGACCCATAAGAAGCAACTGTGCCAAAAGGGGCATCGTTGTGAATATTAGAACTGTGGGGGAGATTTCTCGAAGTCCCCCGCTGCTGCCGGCCCGTGTAGACAGCACTGAGCCGGACGCATCCCTCGCTAACCCTTGCCTCCCGCTGCCTCCCCAGCGTATGAAGTGGCCGTCCGTCTCCTCACTGGACACAGCCCCAGAGAACTCCTCTCCCTCCTCTCCGGAGGGCTTGGCCCCACCCCCTGCCATGGGGGGCACCTTCGTCCGTGGCCACCGGCGCTCGGCATCCTGTGGGTCAGCCTACCCCACGGCCCCCGCCCCGGACAGCGGACTCCCCTCGGACTGCCGCATCATCCGCGTCAGCATGGCTCTGCACAATGGCACCCTCTACAAAAGCATCTTGGTGAGCTAAGGGGGCAGGACCTCTGGGGAAGAGAGGGCCTGGCCAGGGAGGGGGGCGCAGGAACAGCCCTTAGCTGTCCCCCGTGCGCGGCAGGAGGTTGATCTAGACCAGGCACCCCCAAACTCGGCCCTCCAGATGTTTCGGGACTACAATGGAATGAATGTTGTTATTACGGTCACAGATCAGTTCCGGCTTACTTACGATATCAGGAAAATCGTAAAACACAACAGGGATACACTGAATTGCAATTGGGTACAACAGAGACAGTTCAGATAAGAACTTAATGGTTAAGAACTTAATTTGTTCCAGAGGTCTCTGGTTAAGAACTTAATTTGTTCCAGAGGTCTGTTCTTAACCTGAAACTGTTCTTAACCTGAGGTACCACTTATCTAATGGGGCCTCCAGCTGCAGCTGCGCCGCTGGAGCACGATTCCTGTTATCATCCTGAAGCAAAGTTCTTAACCCGAGGTACTATTTCTGGGTTAATGGAGTCTGTAACCTGAAGCGTATGTAACCTGAAGCGTATGTAACCTGAGGTACCACTGTATAGCGGCAGTGTGTGTGTGTGTGTGTGTGTGTGTGTGTGTATAATCTTGATCACTAAAATATAACCTAAAATTATCATTTAAAACCTCAATCATTTTGGCAGTACAGCTTGTTTCCTAAGTTTTACGGCAGTCGCACAGAATTTGGCCACCCTTAGCGTGATCTCCAGGCCCTTGCCCTCTACCAGGAGTTTTAGACATTGACATTCGGACCCATTTGGAGATTTTTGTATAACAGGAGTGAGAAATACTGAGGGACTACAGTTCCCATCATCCCTGACCACTGGCCCTGTTAGCTAGGGATGATGGGAGTTGTAGTCCCAAAACGTCTGGAGGACTGAGTTTGGGGGTGCCTGGCCTAGATGGCCCTAGGGCAGCCTTTCTCAACCTGTGGGTCCCCAGATGTTGTTGAACTACAACTCCCATCACTCCTAGCTAGCAAGGCCAGGGATGATGGGAGTTGTAGTCCAACAATATCTGGGGACCCACAGGTGGAGAACCACTGCCCTTCCCGGGCTGCAGCTCTATGGTTCCCCAGCCAGGTGCCTGCCAGCTCTTTCGCGCTATGACGCGGGACCAGGTTATCTGTGTCGTGGCCTGACCCCACATGCAGCCACTCAGCTGCTTAGACTGCAAGGGCTGGGCTGGATGACCCTCAGGGGTCCCTTCCCACTAACTCAATATGATTCTGTGATTGGCTGAACTGGCCCATTCTCAGGGGCTATGTAACGCCCGTTCTGCATCTGTAATAAAATGGATTTTCCGGCATGGCAGCTCCTGACTGTGGAACTCCCTGCTGAGTGACACCAAGCAGATACCATAGAATCAGAAGCGACCCCCAAAATCATCTAGTCCAGCCCCCTGCAATGCAAGAATCTCGGCTCAAGCGCCCCCGACAGATGGGCACCCAGCCTTTGCTGTGATCTTAACAGCGCCTCCTAAAACGTTTTTTATTTTGGACAGACCTACCCAGATAACGTAGAACGTTGGTGTGTTTTAATCTGTTTGCCGCAAAGGTTTTTGTTTCATTTTTAAGGTTTTACATAGTTATTTACACACCGTTTCTGCCAATAGTTTCATTGTTTTTCAAAACGGCTTTGAGGCTTGTTTGTTTTGTTACAATCCAGTGGCCTGTAAATTTTATGAAATAAACTCACAATCGGCCCTGGTCCAAAAAATCCTGAGGGGCACCCAATTGGCAAAGGCTGAAAATCCTGTTTCTTCTCTCTCCCTCTCTCTCTCTCTCTCTCTCTCTCTCTCTCTCTCTCTCTCTCTCCCTCCCTCCCTGTGCTATTGCTGCCTGCCCTCTGCAGGTCACGAGCCAAGACAAGGCGCCGGTTGTGATCGCGAAGGCGCTGGAGAAGCACAACCAGGATCGGGTCCTGGCCCCCAACTATGAACTGGTGCAGCTCCTGCCGGAAGGCCGAGGTGAGGCCCCTCTCTGTGCTTTATAGTGGGGAGGGGGAATCTGAGGGGATGTGAATCCTGCATTGCAAAGGGGGTTGGACTAGATGAGCTCTGGGGGTCCCTTCCAACTCTACAATTCTGTTGCAAGCATTTTCGCCACTGGTTTTAACTGCTGCCCGCGGGATTTTGCAGTGCGTCAAATTGCTTTTAGGTTACAATTAGCTTTCCAGTGCTTCCCCGGCAGCTTATACAGTGGTACCTCGGGTTAAGAACTTAATTCGTTCTGGAGGTCTGTTCTTAACCTGAAACTGTTCTTAACCTGAAGCAGCACTTTAGCTAATGGGGCCTCCCGCTGCTGCCATGCCGCCGGAGCACGATTTCTGTTCTCATCATGAAGCAAAGTTCTTAACCCGGTACTATTTCTGGGTTAGCGGAGTCTGTAACCTGAAGTGTCTGTAACCCGAGGTACCACTGTAAATGTTTTCTTAAAAAATATTTTTCCAACACAGCAGCACAGAGGATGGTGTCTTTTAAACCTTTCCCCTGTTTCAAGGCTGCCCAATGGACTTCAAAGTCTTTATTATCCTCCCCTTGTTTGTCAGCAGATTCTAATCAAGCCGTCTTCTGATGCTGACAAAGTGGCAAAAATCTTGCGGCTTTGTATTTGGGTTTTTAAGAAAACGGCAGCACAGGTTCTGCAAAGCTGCAGAGCAACAGAGGTCTGGGAAAGCAATGCTAATAGAGGTGTTTTTTTAAAAAAAGTTGGGAGATGAGCTGCGCCCCCAGGAGTCCCTGGTTCTGGCTTTGGACATGCCATTCCTTTTCTACCAGGGAACTCCAAAAATGAGCAGTTCCTCTCGTTCTTCCACCTTGACCCTTCCTCTCTCTTCCTACCACCCCTGCAGAGCTGGCCTTCGCCACCACGGCGAACGTCTTCTACGCGATGAGCAGCACCTGCCTGGACTTCATGCTGCGACCCAAGCGCCCGCGGGAGAAGCCGCCTCCTCCGCCGCCTCCGCCCAAGCCCAAGCCGCCCAAGGGGGTGGAGATCAGCGCCACCTTCCCGAAGATTAAGGCCACCGGGCGGAAGATAGCCAGAGCCCTCTTTTGAGTTGGGCGGCAGGAGGACACAGCGGTGCCTCGGTTTCCACTCGCTCGGGGCTGGCGGCCCACGCTGCCCTTGAGACTGGGGACAGCATAGGGTTGCAACGCGGTGTCAGAAGTGGCAAAATGTTGGCAGAGCTGCGTTGGCAGGCCTGGCTGGCGGAGATCCCTGGTTTTCCAGAGTCTTTGAGGAACTCGATGTCCTTAACTGCTTGGACCAGGGGAAAGGGAAACCAGAGGGCAGGACGCGATCCGATGGATGCAACCGACGAGAAAGGAGATTCCGGCTAAACGTTAGGAAGAACTTCCCGTTTGATGGTGGAACCGGAGGTGGCAGAGTCTCCTCCATTTTTTAAGCGCAGCTTCCTTTAGCCCCTCCTGATCCTCCGTTTCTGAGTCCGTTGTCCAATTTCCAGTGTCAGCACCTTTCCTTTCCTTCATTTGGGTAGAGCATGGGGCCGATAAGGTTTGCAGTCCCACCTTGGACCGCTGGAGTTGGACTGGATGATCCTCAGGTGCCTTCAAACTCTGTGATTCTAGTGAAATCCCTCCCCTCTAGCTCAGGGGGGAAGGCTGCGTTGCCGAAAACACGGATGTCGTGTCGCTCTTGGAAGAGTTTCCATCTGCGTTGTGCATTTCCTGTTGCCGTCGCCACCGGCTTCCTGTTTCTTTGCCGTGGGCACCTTCTCCTCTCACTCTGGGCTCCTCCCATCCCCCCCCCACCCCGCCTGCCCCAAGTGCCTTGACTGTCAACGGGAGGGTTGCCAAGTGACCCTGAGGCACCTCACTTCCTGCTGCGGGGAGGGAGGGCTTGGCGGATTGCCCTGATGATGGCTCCCTCTTTTTGGACCGGTCGGAAAGTGGAGCAATTCTGTGCCTGTCGGAGGCTGTTTCTCACAGATCCCAGATGCAAACTGCCCCCTCTGCTAAGCTCAGCTGCCCCATATCTCAGGGAGGGTGTGTGTGACTCTAAGATGCACTTGACACTGCGCTGAGTGCAAATGAACACTAATTTTTTTATAAAAAAGACGGCGCTATGTTGTGAGGCTGTGGGGAAGGGTTCGGCCTGACCCAGGGCCAAATCTGTCCTTCCTAAAGCGAGGGGGAAACATCACCTGTGAATCCTGATGCTGGTGGGAAGACGGTGACTTTTCGCGGCTGTTTTACACGGACATTCACTTTGCAAATTCCGCTCCAGCCACCCTCAGGTTGGGATCTCCTCCAGGGGTTTTGCACTGAATTTCCCATCAGCCCCAACCGATGGCTTCAAGTTACGAGAAAGGAGGTTCCGCGTAAACGTTTTTCTGAACCGCCTTCGCCTTCCTCGGAGGTTTCTAAGCTGAGGTTGGGTGGCCGTCTGTCGTGGGGTTAGACTAGATGGCCCTTGGGGGTCCCTTCCAAAACTTGAATTCTATGGTTCATTAGAGGTTGGGCGGGCTTCTGTCAGGTATCATTGAGCTCTGGTTCCTGAAGTGCAGAGGGTTGGACTAGATGACCCTAGGTGTCCCCTCCCAATGTCACAGCTCTGAGACTCCAGGACTTTTGGACTACAGTTCCCACCAGCACCCGATGGGGAGTTGTAGTTTAAAACCCCAGAGGCAATCTCAGGTTGAGGAAGGTTGGGAGTTTCCCCACTTTTTGCACTCCTGCAGGCTGCTCCTTCTCACCGCGCAGCTAACATTTTATATACGAGTCTAAGCAGCTTGCAAATTGGCTCTCTTCTTTCGTGTACTGTCTGAAACTCTGCAGAGTCCCCGATATATTTTTATACTATTTAAGTTTCAGCACAAGAAACGCCTTCTTCACGGGAGCCTTTTAACACCTCTGTGGGCCGAGCTGCACCGGTTGGGCTGCTGCCTACCCCTTGCCGCCATCTCACAGCTGCCCACGGGCAACCAGCACTTTCTACCTGCTGCCTATAACTTTCCCCCCCTCTTTCTCTGGAGGAAAAACGATGTTTTGAATGTTAAAAACATTTGTACTTGGCTGCATCAGGGACACTGAAACTTTCTATAAAATATTATTATAAAAAGGTTTGTGGTATGAAAAGCTCTGTGCTTGGGGACCCAGACTGAGATGGGAGTACCTCTGAGGACGTGAAGAGTGCACTAAACAAAATGGCAATATTTGGGCCATCTTCACAAAGTGCTCAGAGGTTCTGTTTACAAGCAAGAGTCCTTAGGTGCCTCTTGGCCTTTTGGACGTGTCCCAAGGATTTCCTCTGCCAGCTTCTAGGTGCCTCTCGCCTCTTCTTGCCTACAGCAGCAAAGTTGGAAACATTCCCAGGCACCTGTCCCTGGCGGGGAGGTGAGCCTGACGTAGGGGGCAACACGGGGCTCTCTGCCAGCCCCAGAGAAGCCGGCAGGCAGCTGCAGCCTGGCCCTAGAGACCTGACGAGGGGCAGGACCTCTCCAAGCCTGGAGATGCGAGATATGATAGCCGTCTTCAGATCTCTCGAGGGCTGTCACGTGGAAGAGGGAGAAAGGTTGTTTTCTCCTGCTCTGGAGGGGAGGACTCGAACACAGGGCTTCAGGTTACGATAAAAGAGGGTTTCTGACAGGAAGAGCTGTTCCACAGTGGGCTCTCCTTCCTTGGAGGTTTTTAAGCAGAGGTTGGGTGGTCATCCACCAGGAATGCTTTAGCTGAGATTCCTGCCTTAGCAGGCGGTTGGAATGGATGACCCCCGAGGTCCCACCGAACTCTACATTTCCATCCGTTCCCTAGAGAGCGAACCGGACGTCCCTGCTCCCTAGAAAGCTCTGCCAGCGCAGCGGGAGTTGCCAGAAATCCCATCCTTCTCAGCTTTTCTGCAGCTCTTGCGGAAGTGGGTGGCTGTCAGCTGAATGAGGGTCTCATCCGAAGAACGTGCTCTGCGCTCACCTTGGCAGGGGGCTGGACTAGATTGCCCTAGGGGTCCCCCCTTCCAACTCTACCGTTCCGGGATCCCAGCCCAGCCACCCTTCGAAGCTGCCGCAGCCTGACCCTAGAGAGAGCTCCCCGGGAGGCAGCGATATGGATGCCCTACAGGGGCCAGGCCACAGGGACGGATTTTGTGTGTTGGCTTCGTGTTGGGGGGGGTGTCTCCTTTCCAGGGGCCTCCCCCTCCCCTTTGTGCATGGCAAGGTCCGAGTGCGAAAGAGGAAGGCATCAGCTGAGAGAGAGAGTTGGGAAACTTGGTCCTAGCTTTTATTTATGCCCAGCGGAGCAGGCCTCGCAACCGTGTCCCCATCCCTCCCCCCACAGTCCAGGAAGACCCCCCCAACTCCCCTCAGGCCTTGACGGCCCCCTTGGCCTGGGCCTTCTGGAACTCCTGCTGCAGCCGCGCCAGCGTCTCCCGCTGCTGGTCCGACTTCTTCTCGTAATCCTGCATCTGGCCCTCGTAGCGCTTGCTGAAACGACAGGACACAGCGGAGGCGGCGTCAGCGCATGTGGCTTCACAAGTCCCGGGGAGGCCGAGAACACCGCGAGCCCCACACTGCAAGGGGGTTCGGCTAGATGACACCCAGGGAGCCCTCCCAACACTACAGTTGTCCTTTTATCTTATTTTTAGTTTTAATTGGTTATAATAATAATAATAATAATAATTTATTATTTGTACCCCGCCCATCTGGGGCGGCTTCCCCAGCCACTCTGGGCGACTTCCAACAAAGATTAAAAATACATTAAAATGTCACACATTAAAAACTTCCCTGATGTCTTCTAAATGTCAGGTAGTTGTTTATCTCTTTGACATCTGGTGGGGTGGGAGGGTGTTCCACAGGGCAGACGCCACCACCAAGAAGGCCCTCTGCCTGGTTCCCCGTAGCTTTGCTTCTCGCAGGGAGGGAACTGCCAGAAGGCCCTTGGTGCTGGACCTCAGTGTCTGGACAGAACGATGGGGGTGGAGACGCTCCTTCAAGTATACTGGGCCGAGGCCGTTTGGAGCTTTAAAGGTCAGCACCAAAACTGAATTGTGCTCGGAAAGGTTCTGAGACCGGTATTATGTGGTCTTGGCGGCCACTCCCAGTCACCAGTCTAGCTGCCACATTGTGGATTAGTTGCAGTTTCCGGGTCACCTTCAAAAGTAACCCCACATAGAGCGCATTGCAGTAGTCCAAGCGAGAGATAACCAGAGCATGCACTACTCTGGCCAGACAGTCTGCGGGCAGGTAGGTCTCATCCTGCGTACCAGGTGGAGTTGGTAAACAGATGCCCTGGACACAGAGTTGACCTGCGCCTCCATGGACAGCTGTGAGTCCAAACTGACCCCTAGGTTGCTCACCTGGTCCTTCAGGAGCACAGTGACCCCATTCAGGACCAGGGAGTCCCCCACACCCGCCCGCCCCTGTCCCCCCAAAACAGTACTTCTGTCTTGTCAGGATTCAACCTTGATGGACTGATGCCAGCTTTATCTTTTGAGGAGCTCAAGGTGCACAGCTCTCCTCCTTTCCACTTCATCCTCACAAAAAACATTTTTTTCTGCTTTTAAAATGTTTTTACATACAGTCATACCTTGGGTTTCAGGAGCAGGTTACTTCTGGGTTTCAGAGGTTGCATGCGAGAAACACTAAAGCACACTTTGCGCATGCAACCTGAGAATCCACTGTATTTTCATTCATACACACACACACACACACACACACAGGTAAATTTTCTGTTTAACAATTTAGAATATTCATTTAAACAACCTTAGAATATCAATGACTTCCCTTCTTCTCTTTCCATAGTTCATTTTGCATAACACAAATCCCTGCACATTTTACATAAACTAAACAAATCAGTTTTCCATTATCGCATCCATCAAAACTTATTTACACTTTTGAATTTATCTTAATGCTGCCCACGTTTTCAAGTGCACACAATTTTCCCTATTCTCTTCCCCCCTTTTTCTCCTTTCCTTTACTAGAATAATCCCAATAAAATTATGTATATATACAGTGGTACCTCTGGATATGAATGGGATCCGTTCCGCAGCCCCGTTCGCATTCTGAAGCGAACGCAACCCATGTCTGTGCATGTGGGGATTCGCCGCTTCCGCGCATGTGCATGATGTCATTTTGAGCGTCTGTGCATGCACGAGCGGCGAAACCCGGAAGTAATGTGTTCTCTTACTTCGGGTGACTGCAGAGCGCAACCCAAAAGAGCTCAACCTGAAGCAACTTCAACCCGAGATATGACACTGTGTGTGTGCGTGTGTAATATATATATATATATATATATATACACACACCACAGTAGCAGAGCCTCCCTGCGGGATGGAGGCAGCACTCACATCTCCCCTGCGATGTAGTCCAGCCGTTTCGCGACTGTGGCTTTGGCCTCATCTGTGTCCTGCTTCACCAAGACGGGCCCAATCAGCTTGTAGACGGTGTTGGACGAATCCAACAGGTCCAGCTCCTGCAGAGGAAGGAAAGGTCAGCAGGGAGGGAGGCGGCTCAAGCGGCAGCTTCTGCAAAGGCGGGGGGAGCGGCTCACCTCCTTCACCACGTTGTTCTCGGTCAGCTGAGCCTCCAGTTTCTGTCGGGCCGTCATGCACTTGCTGATATCTGGAAGCGGGGAGGAAGAACAGGCACAGAAATTGATGGACTACGCAGAAAGGGCAACGCTCACCGAAATAAGAAGAAGCATCAAGAAGATCAAGTTTGTAAGGAAGAATGGAAAGCATTTATAGAGCATTTGCAAAATTACTCTAAACAAAGACGCTAGCAGGTTTCATATAAATAACGTGCAGTATAAATTTTATACATTTATGTATTTAGAAGAGATTGTAAATAACAATTTGGCTTCACTGGGAAATGCAGGAAATAATATAAAATATAAGGAACCCAAGAAGAGGGGGAAGGGAGTCATAATAAGAGAAATATGGAATATCATTTGTGTTTTAAATTTTTGGTTATTTTTTCCTTTTTTCTGTACTTTGTAAAAGCTTATAAAATTATTATTATTATTATTATTATTATTATTATTATTATTATTACTATTAGCAGGGTCGAGGAAGAGTTCCCCCCAGTAAAACAAACAAAAAAAGGAAATCCACACAGTTAAAAGTGTAGAACACACATGGAAAAATATTAGAACCAACACAACATAGACCGGCAGTCCACAGGAATGAATGAAATCCAACCCAGAAGCATAGTGTTGGAAGGGACCCCGAGGGTCATCTAGTCCAACCCCCATCAATGCAGGAATCTCAACTAAAGCATCCATGAGAGATGGCCGCCCAACTTGTGCTTCAAAACTTCCAAGAACTTAACTTTTAAGTGGGCCCAGCTACTTCTTGGTGGGAGGTCGAGGCGTGACAGGTGTCTAGACAGCACATATAAGAAATGGGGGGGGGGGAGACTCCCACATTTTAAACGCAAGCCCAGAACTGAGAGATGCTGCTATAACGTTCTGGTGCAGGGAAATGGGATTCTGAGGTGCTCTTCTGACTCACTTCCTGAGCCAGGTTCAAGGGCCTTCTGGCGGTTCCCTCCCTGCGAGAAGCCAAGTTACAGGGAACCAGGCAGAGGGCCTCCTCGGTGGTGGCACCCGCCCTGGGGAACGCCCTCCCACCAGATGTGAAGGAAATTAGCAGCTATCTTATTTTTAAAAGATATCTGAAGACAGCCCTGTTTAGGGAAGTTTTTAATATTTAATGCTGTATTGTTTTTAATAAATTATTTAATAAAATAATAAATCAATAATAAAATTATTTAATAAATAATAATAATAACAATAATAATTATGTCCTTGCATTAATTTACAAAGCCCTGAGCAACCTGGGTCCAGGGTGCTTCAAGGACCGCCTGAACCCCAATTTCCCACTCAGGTCACCTGCAGGAGCGTCGCTGTTCATTCCCCAAGTTGGTGAGGCCCATTTGGCAACAAGGAGAATCCGAGCCTTTTGAGTTATTGGCCCCGTCCTGCGGGACTCCCTGCCACTGGAGTTCGGCCAGCTTTCAAAGACCTGGTGAGAGCTTTTCCGCTGTCTGATTTCAACTTTTCGAACTGTTTCATGTGCAGCTATTCTAAGGCGCTCTGATACTTTCTTATGAATAGGTGTGTGTGTGTGTGTGTGTGTGTGTGTATGATGAGAGGTGGTGGTGGAATTTACCTTTCTGCAGCTGCTGGTATTTCTCCAGCTCTCCCTGGAGCTTCTTCTGCAGGGCTTCAGCCATCGCCTCCTCCTCTCAGGCGGCTCAGGAGCAGGGGTAGCACTCTCTGCAGAAAAAGCAAGTAACTGCCAGCGCAGCTTTGCTTGCAGAAAAGCCAAAAGCCCCCAAGAAGCTGCAGCTAGGAGAAAACACAGGGCAGATCCAGCTGTCAAAGGGCTCTGCTTACGTCCCCCTCAGGGCTCCAATTTGGAGCAGCCCCTCGCCACCAGCTCCTGGAGTGGGTGGGTGTCTCTATCCTCAAAACAAAAGCCCGTGTGGGAGGACTGAACCCGGGGGGGGGGTCTGCATAGTGAAGCTGCCCTCTGCCTATGGGTCACCCCAGGGGCCGCCCCAACTCCCAGGGGCATCTAACTCCCAGGGGCATCTTCTGGCCCCCTCCCCATCTGGGTGTGTGGAGAGGGGGGGGAGGGGGCAGCCACCCCGCAGGGTCCCTCCCCCCCAGCTCCCCTTTCCCCCCACCTCCTCCAACGGATCCCCCCAGGCACCCCTGAAGCCCCCTCCCCACCCAAGCCCCCTCCCCCATTGAGCCCCCCCCCAGCACCCATGGCGCCCCCTCCTCGCCCCTTGGTGCCCCCACCCACCTGCCCCTCTCTCTCTCTGCCCCCACCCCCAACACCTGCCCCCTCCCCGACTCACGTTCCGCTAAAGCTCCTCCTCCCGACCTCTAACCCGAGGAACTTCCGCCCACAGCACCTCCGCGTCACCCAGGATCCCTCGCGGTCTCGCTCCTTCCCGCACAGGCGCAGACGGGCCGCCAGCGCCTTTGGATGCGTCACTTCCGCCCCCCGCCAAGATGGCGGCTTAACACAGGACGGGAGCGTAGTCCTAGAGCGGTCGCCTCGAAGTCCCGGGGGCTATGAACACTTCCCCGCCGCAAAGGGTACCGGGAAGTGTAGTTTGTCCCCCAGCGGAGCTCCAGTTCCCGGAGCCCTTGACAAACTACAGTTCCCAGGAGGGGATTTTCTTGTGGGGGGGGGAATGGTAGAGTGGAGAAAAGTAAAGTGTTTTTGAATGCATAGTGTGAATGCGATCCACGTGTCTGGCTGGGCCACGTGTAGTTGGGTTTGCACCCTTTTGTTATTGGTTTTTCCCTTTTTTCTTGTTTTTCTGCTTCTATTATGTATTTTCATGCTGTGAGCCGCCCTGGGATCTTTGAGGACGGGGCAGCGTCCAAATTTAATAATGCTATAATAATTTATTTATTATTTATATAATAAATAAATGGGCTGTAGCCACGTGTGTTTGTATAAACTTTGGAGACCCACACTGCCTCCTGCCTGTCGATAAATAAATAAGCGTATGAGAAATCCTGAATGGACTGAGTACTGTTTTCCTAACATGTCAAATAATTTTAAAACTTCCCTTTCTGGTTATGACTTTCCACCAAAAAACACGATACTGAGTTGGCCCTTGGAGAGTCAGAAGGAGGGAAGGCACAAGGGCGCATGGACGGAAGTGCGCAGGGCAGAGACTTAAGAGATCCACAGGGTAACCTGCCACTTTGACTCAGAAGTCAAGGTTTCCTCCGAATTAAGTGGCCAGGATTAGGATCCTGCTTCAGGAAAGAACACCCTCAGGAGGGACATCAGCTGGAAGCAAAATCAAGCTTTGATTTGAGGCTGCAATAGCTCCGTTGGTTAGAGCGTGGTGCTCATCATGCCAAGGTTGTGGGTTCAATCCCTGTAAAGGACATCTGAATATTCCTGCAATGCTGGGGGTTGGACTAGATGACCCTCAGGGAACTTTTGGAGGTGTTACGGGATGAATGATGGTGGAGGAATATTTTTGTAGAGCAGGCATAGGCAACCTTCGGCTCTCCAGATGTTTTGGACTACAGTTCCCATCATCCTTAGTTAATAGGACCAGTGGTCAGGGATGATGGGAATTGTAGTCCAAAACATCTGGAGGGCTGAAGGTTGCCTATGCCTATTGCAGAGGTTTCAGCTTTTCTTAACACAGGCAAAAAGGCACTGTTAGTAGTGATTACATAACTGATTACAAACTTTTTTTATAAGTGATGTGATTCAAGGACTGAGAAAACATAGGCATTGGCACAACCTGTGACCTGCTTCCCAGAGGGAAGGCAATGTTAAAAAGCATGGGGAGAGGACGGAGCCCTAAGGCACCCCACAAGTGTCCGCCCAGGGGTCCCCCAACATCACTTTCTGGACACGGCCCAGGAGGAAGGAGCGGAACCACTGCATAACCCTGCCCCTAACTCCCTACTGTCCTAGACCGTCCAGGAGGATGTGTTAGTATTTGTAATGTCATTTCATTGGGAATGTACCGTATTTTTCGCTCTATAAGACGCACCTAGTTTTCAGAGGAGCAAAACAAGGAAAAAAAACATTCTGAATGAAATGCTGTTGAAGAGGCTTCACGTGGCTATGAGAGCCAGTGTGGTGTAGTGGTTAAGAGCGGGAGACTCGTAATCTGGGGAACCGGGTTTGGGTCTTGGCTCCTCCACAAGCAGTTACTGGGTGATCTTGGATTAGTCACACTTCTCTGAAGTCTCTCAGCCCCACTCACCCCACAGAGTGTTTGTTGTGGGGGAGGAAGGGAAAGGAGAATGTTAGCCGCTTTGAGACTCCTTCTGGTAGTGTTAAAGCGGGATATCAAATCCAAACTCTTCTTCTGCTTCTATCCCTGAAGCCAGAACAAACAGCTGCGAGAGCAATGCAAAGCCTCTTCAGTGCAGCGGGAGGAATGCTCCTGCTGCACTGAAGAGGCTTTGTGCGGCTATCACTGAAGCCAGCGATAGCTGTGCAGTCTGCAATAGCTCCATAAGACGCACACACATTTCCCCTTACTTTTTAGTCGGGAAAAAGTGTGCCTTATAGAGCGAAAAATACGGTATTTCAGAGAGCAGAGGTGGCATTGGGGAAATGAAATGGCACTTGTTTGGTTAATTCAGTTCGCTGTGTCTTGACTGCTGAGAGGTCAAGCTGAGAGGTGTGGGGACTTCATGTACACGCTGTCTGGAGGGGTTTGTAAATAATACTAGTGTTTCAACTGTTGCCAGCCTGACAAGTAAATATTTATTTTCAACAAATTGGGTAAGGCATATATTTTTATCACAAACAGCTATCCAGATACTGTGGTCGATTGTATTAAAAGCCACTGAGAGATCCAGCAGAACCAGGAAACAGCTTTTACCTCTGTCCCTAGCCCGCCAGAGATAATCAACCAGCGCCACCAGGGTGGTCTCAGTCCAATAGAAGGGCCTAAAACTCAATTGGGACAAATGCAGTCTAAATGGTCCACATCCTCCAGATATGCCTGGATTTATTCTGCAACCAAACATACATTTAAATTGTTTTTCCCATGTGAGTTCCTTCCTGGAGGAGCGAACCCAGGAGGTAGCACTGAGTGACTCGTGTTCCATATGTTGGCCATTTTCCTGCATCGTGCCTCTGGGGTCTGTTCTGCGCCCCATGCTATTCAACATGTGTGTCCAGGGCAGCTGTTTATCAGCTCCATCTGGTACGCAGGCTGACACCCTACCTGCCTGCGGACTGTCCTGCCAGAGTGGTGTATGCTCTGGTTACCACCCGCTTAGACTACTGCAATGAGCTCTATGTGGGGCTACCTTTAAAGGTAACCCGGAAACTGCAACTAATCCAGAATGCAGCAGCTAGATTGGTGACTGGGAGCGGCCGCTGAGACCACATAACACCAGTCTTGAAAGACCTACATTGGTCCCAGAACGTTTCCGAGCATGATTCAAAGTGTTGGTGCTGACCTTTAAAGCCCTAAACGAATGAATGAATGAATGAATGAATAAATTTATTACGGTCATAGACCAGAAGAAAAGAAAAAAACATAAAAGGCAGCAATAATTTACAAGGGAATGATGGTGTCAATTAAAAGTTGTAAAATTATACATAAAAACAATATACATATACACCCACACCCACACACACGCACATATACATACTCATATATGCACTACAGTATATGTATGGGCTTAAAAAAAGGGGGGGCTTATCCAGGGGTCAGATCTTTTACTTTTTTACAGCTAATGCCCTCCGCTTGATCGCGGCCGCAGAAAACTTGGCCACTTTCAGTGTTACTTCTGGGTTTTTATCTCCTAGTAGGATTTTCAGCCGCTGAGATTCAGATCGACCTGGAAATTTCTGAACGATAGGGGAGATAAACAGTAACCTGATATCCCCGTAAAGGTCGCAGTGTAACAGCACATGTGAAGCCGTTTCCACCTCCTTCAGACCACATGGGCAAACTCGTTCAGCATAGGGTGTGCCCTCGTATCTGCCCTTTAGTAAGGCAGATGGCAATACATCAAATCTGGTAAGGGTAAACGCCCGCCTATATTTTGCGATTTGTAGGTCCAGCAAATATGGGGTTAGATTAAACCCTTTTTCATAATCTTGGATAGCTGGATATTTATCTATCTTGCTCATATGGTCCTGAAGCTCTACATCTCCTATTCGCTGGCTCACCATCATTTTAGCCTTTTCAAAGCCTGAGGCTATGAGTTCTTGTGGGGAAAGCCCCAGGCCCCTCAATTTTTCATAAAGCGACAATCTCCATTTAGACTGGAACGGGTCTAGTAGAGTCAATGGAGCCACTCCCACTGGGAAAAATATGAGTTTTAGCCAGAAGTGAATCTTCAGGATCCATATCCTGGCATTAATAGGGAGTTGGCCTACCTCCAGCCTAATGGCAGTGTTAGAGACACAGGTAGGTAACCCTAGTAGGGAACGATAAAATTTAGTTTGTACAGATTCCAGGGACTTGAGTTTTTGACAATTAAATATCTGGGTGCCATACATCAATTGTGGAAGTATTTTTGCAACAAAGACCTGGGAGGCAGCAGGAACATATTGACCTCCTTTTCTGTAAAAGAATCTTATGATAGCTCTGGAAGATCTTTGCGCATTTACAATGGAATTCTTTATCTGATGGCACCAAGATCCCTTCTCATCAAAAATTATTCCAAGATATCTAAAAGATGTTACTTGCTCAATAGGTTGGTTATTAATTTTCCATTTATGTCGGAGTTTTCTCTTGGAGAACACCATAATTTTTGATTTAGTGTAATTTATTATTAGGTGTTCAGCTTCGCAATACTCTGTAAGAGCTCGTAAAAGTTTTCTTAGACCCACACAAGAGAAGGAAATAAGTGCCGCATCATCTGCGTACAAAAGGACCGGGATTGGTGTATTATTTAGATTTGGGGAATGAGTACTTGCTTCCTCCATCTTTCCGACTAAGGAGTTTATATAGAAGTTAAAAAGAATAGGGGCAAGAACACAGCCTTGCTTGACACCATGGGAACTTTGGATTTCCTTTGATAGGTTCCCATAACGGTCGCATCTAACACGGATCCGAGTATTTTCATGTAGTCTACGGATAAGAAGCAAAAGACGTCTATCGATGTTTGTGACATTTAGTTTTTCCCCAAAGTCTGTGCCGGGGTATCGAGTCGAAGGCTGATTTGAAATCTATAAAGGCTACATAGAGAGAGCCTCCTTTCTTTGAGGTGTATTTCTCCACTAGATGTTGCAATACCAATCCTTGGTCTAGAGTTGATCTATGTGCCCTGAAACCAGCCTGGGCTTCCTTTAGGATGTGCTCCTGTTCCAGCCAGTCCGCAAACTTTTCACGTAAGTGAGTTGCATAAAGTTTGCTGATGATGCTTAAAAGACTGATTGGTCTGTAATTGGCTGGATCAAGTTTACAGCCTTTCTTGAATATGGGAACGATGATTGC